GCCCACCAGGAGGAGGGGAATGTCTGTTCCCCTTGGATGGTGAAGGGTGTGGCCGGCCCGTCGTTTTAATGCAAATGGAGGACAGAGGGTGCTAGTGTGTGGTGGGAGGTGGAGGTAGATGCGGGGGCCTGGAGGTTCTTGTTGGGATTCTGGGGGACCCCTGGGACCTCTGACTGCACCCAGGGAACTGACGTGGGCTGCATTGGGTGTGCAAGTGACCAGGCCAGCTGCCCTACAGCCTTCGAGTATGCATGTCCACGTCCACATCGGAATGACAGACAGCTGCCCCAGGACCTGGCAATGGACCCTTACCTCCTCAGGTTCCCTCGAGGCTGCAGTTCCTCCAGCTCTGTGCCATGGGGGACCTCAAAGAACAGGACGCTGGTCCCTTTGCCTGATATTGAGGCCGCAGGAGCCCCCCAGTGTCTGCCCTTGACGTGGCCAGGGACTGCGGGGTCTTAAGACCAACCTCACTTAACCAGAGTCTGCAGGACTGAGGCCTTCTGGGAGGTTTGCGACAGCAGCATGGTAACCTTCTTAGTCCCCGGCCAGGCACGTGGTGTCTCCTTTGTCCCTCCTGATCCCAGTGCAGGGCAAGGGCAGGGCAGGGCAGGGCAGACCCAGAGACGCCCTTTGGGGGCCATTCCCACCACAGCCATGGGGGCTGGGTGCAGACTCCCCTGGACGCACCACTGCACCTGAGACCTGCTGGGCTGGGCACAGTGGCATGTATCATGGGCTCTGCTGCTGCGGAGAGACCAGGGCCCCACTTTTTGCCTAGTTGTAGTGGGGGGGAGGGGCAGGGGCTGCAGCCGATGTTAGACTCTCAAAGGCCAGTGATCTTGGAAGCTAACACAGCAGCAGGGGTTCCAGCTCTGGCCCAGACGCCGCCCTGAAGAGCCGGGCGTCTTGCTGTCATCAACCCACAGGGATGCTGGCCTGGCCTCTGACGTCCTCCTGCTCATCCCTCTGCCCAGGCCACGGTGTTTCATTTCTGACTCACATTTGCATCAGTGAGCTCCAGTGAGTCTTGGAAGGGGTCAGCCCAGGCAGCCAGCAGCCCCACCTCCCCATGCAGCAACAGCAGGTCTCAGGGGCCAGCAGAGGCCAAGCCTGGACATGATGTGGGGCATACACCATAATAGGGGGGAAAGGATCCTGAGAGCCATCTAGCCCACCCCCTCTCTTCCCAGGTTGGAAACCAAGGCTGGGCTAGGGCAGGTCCACAGGACATGGCAGGGGCGAGGAGGCCACCTGAACTTAGGCAGGCTGCTCACGAAGATGCCTCCTCCCAGGAACCCCAAGTGGACAGTGACCCAGGAGGCTGTACTGTGCAGTGGCTCTGCCACTTGCCAGCTCAGTGACTTTAGACAACTCACTCAACCTCTCTGAGCCTCACCTTTCTTACCACCATTGATGATGGTGGTAATAATGATGGTGATGGTATCATGGTAATGATGATGGTGGTGGTGATCATGTTGATGGTGATGATGGTGGTGGTGATGATGTTGATGATGGTGATGGTTATGATAACAGTGATGATGATGATGGTGGTGGTGATGGCAATGATGATGATGGTGATGATGGTTTTGATGATGATGAGGGTGGTGATGATGAGAGTGGTGATGATGAGGGTGATGGTGATGTTGGTGTGATGATGGTGATGATGATGGTGTGAAGAGAGTGATGGTGATAGTGTTGATGGTGGTGATGACGTTGATGATGGTAGTGGTGATAGTGCCCCTCAGGACCCCCTCCCTGCCCCTTGAGGCCATACCCCGGGGCAGAAGCATGACTGTGTCCGGAAGCCAGAGGACAGAGAGGGCCCGTGCAGTGGGAGTTTTTCACAAAGCAGTCATAGATAATATCCCTCCTAAAGGTCTCCTTTCTCTTATAAAATAATCGTGGTAATGAAGAGGAATTTATTGTTATTAATGTCCTTACTGAACCAAATTAAAAATTTAATAAAACTTGTGTTGGTCTACACCCTTCCCTCCTTTGTTTAAAATTTTGTTGGTCCATAATACCCCAAAGTCTAGGAACCACTGGCTAAGTGACCTAGAAACAGTCCCTTTCTAAAACATTTTTTACCTCTGATAAACATATGCACGTGTACACACACGTACACACACACACTCCACAGTCTCTCTGCTCCTGGAACCTCTGACCTCAGCCAAGGGCCTGCACCAATCAGTTCTCAGCACCAGCGGTTCCCTAGACAACCAACACAGAGCTGGCACGTGGGGCTTAAGCAGCAGAGGCTATTAAGAGTAATAATAACAATTAACAACCAGTCCCCATGGTCCTTCAGAAGCTTCATGAACTACTCTGCTTAACCCCACAAAGAGGTTCAAATCCCATTTATCCCTCCGGGCCTGGCACATATGTGGCCCCATACGGATGTGGCAGGGCTGGCCTGTCCAGAGGTGTTGCCTGGCCCATGTGCTCCCTCCACACAATTATCTGACTGCTGGGGCCTTCAGCCCAGCCCACAGAAGGGCAGCATGCATGGGCTCCGTCCTCCCCAACCCTCAGGATTCTGAGCCCCAGGGAACAGCGCTGAGGCCCCGCCCCCTCTGAGTGTCCTTCTAATCCCTGCATTTTCAGCTCAGGGCCTGGCTCCCAGGTGGGCTTGATGAATGATGACTAGAATTGAACATGTGCGCAATGCAGGAGGCCAGGGAGGAGGGGGAGGGAGACAAGAAACATCTAGGCACATTTGGTCCAGGTGCCAAGGACAGGGGACGTGCGTGCAGCTTGGCTGGCCCAGTGCCCGGCCCAGCGAGGGCCCTGTGCACTGAGCCACTCTGATGGTGTGCAGTGTGTTTTTATTTGCTAATTTACAATGGGATGTTTAGATTAGGTCAGCAAGCATTTACATTGGTATCTACCAGGAGTCAGATGTTGGCGGTGCAACAGAGAGGAATAAGGCCAAATCCCCACCCTCGAGCACCATAGAGTGCCAGGGACTTGGACCCTCTCCAGGGGCTGGATAGTGTGGTCTGGTGGTTCTGAGCCTGGGCTCTGGAGCCCATCTGCCAGCCCGGGGGCTCATCCTGACCCTGCCTTTTAGTGGGTTTGTGACTTTGCCTGGGCAGCCTTTACCATCACCATCCATGAAATGGGTCCGGTGTTCCTACCTCCCTCGCTGGGCTGCTGTGACCAGCGAGTGGATGAGCCCAGATAGCCACAGATCATGGGAAGGACTCAATAAATATTAGTGAGGACAAGGATGGTGATGATGCAGCAGAGACACGCCAAGCAGAGGGTGTCTCTAACTCCACGGAAAGGACCCCTGAGGTCCCGAGCAGGGATTTGAAGGGATTTTAAGGCATGAATTGGAGCAGAAAGCAGAGGGGCCGCCCCTGGCTGGCCTGCAAAATGGCGTGCACACTCTCTCACTAGAGGGTCGTGATGGTTAAATGAGTGAATACAGGAGCGGGGCTCAGAACAGGGCCTGGTATGCAGTAAGTGCTCAATTAGTGTCTGTGATGACGATGGGGGTGAAAATGTCGCTGTTCAGGGAATTGTAAGTTTTGTACTGTCAGAGCCTCAGGGGGAGTGATGGGAAAGGGCTGGAGGGGGAGGTGGGAGCCAAGTCACAGAGGACCCCAGCCCCCATGTCAGTTAAGGCACTATTAGCTGCTGTAACAGAAATCCCTGGAGTGTAGCATGATGCAATAGAAGTTTAATTGTTGGTCACTTTCACAGTTCAGTGCACAGAGACCCAGGCATCTTCCAGGAATCCTAGAGGATTCTACCATCCTGTAGGGCCAGGGGGTCCCAGCTTTGTGCTGGGAGAAGCAGGAAGAGAGAGTAAGGAGAGCGCACTGGCTTCCATAGAAGCCAAGCTTGGTAGGGACCCCCCCCAACCCTTGCAATGGAATATGCTCACATACCATTGGTGGGAACTGGTCACATGGCCACACCTGGCTGCAAGGAGAGCTGGGAAATGTAGTCCTGGGCTGGACATCTACTCCTCTCTCACCCTCAAAGGCAACTCCACGCTACACAGAAAGGGAGCATGCATTTTTGCCGAACAGACCGCCTCTGGGCACAAAAGGAGCCGAGGGGTATTGTTCTGACCTTCTCAGGACCCTGACGTGTGTTCACATTTGAACTGAAAATTTGCATTTGAGGGTTTGAATAAAATCATATTCACTTTGAAATGTGGGATCAAGGAGACTGACAACAGAGAGTTGCAGGAGTCTAAATGTGATTTAGAGCTATTTTCCTGAAGCCCATTTGCATAATTTCTCTGTATTTTTTCCAAGGTTTAGGAAGGAGATTGTCCCGGAGATTTTACTTAGGAGGAAAATATCGAAAACGTGAATTGTGTGCCTCCATATTTCCTGTGTTTGCGTTGTGGATTTTTTTCCCTCCAGCCCTGAGCTGTCTGTTAAATCTAATTACATCGTTCATATCATTTCCCATGAAATTTACGTCTAAATCTGCTGAGTAAGGGAAGCAAGCAGAGGACTTAATTAGGAACATTAATCATGTTTATTCGTTTTTTTTTTTTTTAGGAGAAAGCAACTGTAATCAGAAAAATAACAATAAACGTTCCTTTTTCCCAAAGGCAGTCATTCACAGGTTCTCAGATTTGCTAGAAGGCTCAGCAGCATCACTTGAGAATACCGTTCTAGCAGATTCCATGTGCCCATGGGCTGCTGCTGTTCCGCCCTGAACTTGCATGGCCCTGTCTTCTTTGCAGAGTGCTTCCTTCTGCATCCTCCACGAGCCGGGGACCCCGGGACTCTGCCTCCCTCCTGGAACGGAGCTCCTGGAACGTAGTCAGCCTGGGGTTCCTATGCATTCCCCAGATTTTGCGAAGTTAGGCCCCAGAACAAGACCTCATCTTCCTCCCAGATCTTTCCCCAGGAGAGCGGGTCTCACTCTTCATAAGTCAGATAAATAAGAGTCCCGGCCAGCCCCGTGTGGTTTCAGCATTCAGGGACCGTGCCTTTTCTAAATGGTGTTTCTCTTCCCTCTCTGTACAGAGACTCGTGCAGACCGCAGCAAGAAACTCTTCAGACACTATACGGTTGGCTCATATGACAGCTTCGATGCTTCCAGGTAAGACGTGTTCTTTTTCTGCCAGGCCCCCTCTGGTCAGAGATGCTCGCGTGTGCCACGAAAGCACTGGACCATCTTGCATGGAGCTCTTGGACCCCTTGGCTTGCTTTTCCCTGCGTGCCCACCCTGACCCCCTGAACGTGGACTAGGATTATGGAAGCCACCGTCTTCCAGGGAACCTGCGAGAGGCGTCTCCCTGCTGCCCGCAGTTTGCTGTTTCGTACCTGTGGGGTGGCCCAAGGGAGAGGGCTGTCTTTCCAGGAGGAGGAAAACCCAGCATTGTTTGGAGGAAAGCATTACAAATGTTAAAGATGAGAACACCTGGCCACGGGAGCCTCGAGGCAGCATCAAGGCAGCAGCATCCCCCCGGGGGAGTGTTTGGGATGCTCTGGGTTTCCACCTCATCTGCATTTTCCATGTTCGATCCTGCCGCTGAGTGAGGTTTTTATACAAGAAAGGCTCATTCCTCTTGCCACGCGTGACACCAAGCAGGCAGAGCTTCTAAGAATGGCGGGTTTGCTTTCTGGCTTCTTTCAAAAGGGGCATTGTTTGGTTCCTGCAGAAAACCTTGTACCTTCACGATGTGGCGCGGGGCGTTTGGATTTTCCCTCGGGCTCGTGCAGCGCACGCCGGGGAGGCATCCTTGGGTCTCCTGGACCCCTTCCTTTTAACTCGGGGAGAAGTGGAGGCAGGCCAGGGCTTCTGCTGCGTGAGGCGCCATACCCTATTTCAGAACAACGGCTCCACAAACAGCTGGGAAATGAGCAGCATTTCTGGCCAGTGTCCCCTTTGCCACTTGAGCCTCTCCAGCTCTTGTTGTCCCTGTCCCCTTGCTTCTGTCGCCAGCACAAGTCTCCCTACATTGCGAGCTGGAAGGGTGTGGAGAAAGGCCCCTCTGCGCAGAGAACCTGTCGCCCCCCGCCCAGATAGAGGTTCTAAGTGGACAGAGAGCTCAGCGAAAGACAGTCTGTGGTGCAGAAAAGGGAAGGACACGCGGGCTACGTGACCCAGTGGACACGAGGGTCCCGTTCCCCACCCTGCTGGACGGCCGTCCAGGGGGCGCCTTCTGAGAACCCCACCAGCTCCATCTCCTCCAGAGAAGGTCCAGACCGGGGAAGGATCTGGATGCCCTGCCCTGGGTTCCCTCCTCCTCCCCGCCCGGGGTCCCCAGTGGGGTCTGTGATGAGCAACTCAGACCTGTTCTCCTAATGCTCGTCTGCCTGCTGTGAGATCGAACCTGGTTTCGTTTGTTTGTTTTCAGTGAGTTAAAATGCACATAACCTAAAATTGCCATCTTAAAATGCGCAATTCAGTAGCATTTGGTACATTCACAATGTTGTGCAACCACCACCTTTATCTAGTTCTCAAAATTTCCATCACCCCAAAAGGAAACCCCCTGACCATTAGCAGTCACTCCCCGTTCTCCCTGCCCCCAGCTCCTGGCAGCCATCAGTCTGCTTTCTGTCTCTGTGGAGTTCCCTATTTTGGACGTTCCATGTGAATGGAATTATACTTATATGTGACCTTTTGTGTCTGACTTCTTTACTTAGAATAATATTTTCAAGGTTCATCTATGCTGTAGCACGTATCAATGCTTCATTCTTTTTTTCTCTCTAATTTTTTTATTGTGGTAAAATACATGTAACATAAAATTTACCACCTTAACCATTTTTAAGTGTTCAGTTCAATGGCATTAAGTGCATTCCTGTTCTTGTGCAACTGTCACCACCATCCATCTCCAGAACTCTTTTCATCTCCCCAAACTGAAATTCTGTGCCAATTAAATGCTAATTCCCCATTACCCCCTCCTCCAGCCCCTGGAACCACATTCTGATTTCTGTGTCTATGAATTTGATGACTCTGGGAACCTCATGTGAGTGGAATTATACAATATTTGTCCTTTTGTGGCTGGCTTCTTTCACTCAGCATAATGTGCTCCAGGTTCATCCACGTTGTAGCCTGTGTCAGAATTTCCTTCCTTTTCAAAGGCTGAATAGTATTCCGTTGTATGGCAATACCACAATTTGTGTATCCGTTTATCCATCGATGGACACTTGGGTTGCTTCCACCTTTTGGCTGCTGTGAATAGTGCTGCTGTGGACATTCGTGTAGAAGTATTTTTTGAACACGTGTTTCCAGTTTCTGGGTCTATACCTGGGAGTGGACTTGCTGGTTGAACCTGATTTTAGTGCTCGCCTGTCCCAAACTTCTTTCTCTCACAAACAAGATGCGCTATAACGGGAATACCACTCCCAGCAGAGGAGTGGGTCACCTCCTCAGGGGGGCTTTGCAGACTTTCCAGGTCTTGCTAAGACTGCCCACTTTTTGACCTCGAAAGGCCAGATTGTGATCTGTGGCCTGGCCATCAGTGCAGCCCAGAGAGGGCGCTCCGAGGCTGGTGGCTTCCAGGGAGCCACACCTGACCCTGGCTTCTCCTGACGAGTTTTTATTTGGGTCAGATGAATCGTTTCTGCAGCAGCAGGAGGCTGTCTGTCAAAGTGGACCCTGGGCACATGGTCACGGTCGGTGCGCCTGGCACACTTTGCTTCCATCCTAGGAAGGAGGGCGCCTGAGAGCTGTTGCCATGGTTACTGCCAGGGCTGTCCAGGCTGGGGGTGGGGCTTCGGGTGAAAAGGGGCCTCTGAGAGCTGGAAGGGTCCAGCAGCAGTTCGCCCGCGGGCTGTGGCTTTGGCAAAGCTGTCTCCCTACAAGGCCCGCTGTGGCAGAGAGCAGCCGACAGGCCGCCCTTCGTGTGCACGTGTGCGCGAGAGTGGGTGTGCACACACACTCAGCATTTGAAACAGGCGGCTCCGCCTCCGGGGCTGCTTCCCCACAGAGGAGCCGTGGAAGGACCTGACTTGATTGAGCTGGGAACAGAGAAGACTGTAGGGACGGGCTGGCTGGACCTAGAACAGCAGAACCAGAACACACCAGGGACTCACACTGCCGACAGCTCTGCCAACAGAAGACATGTGGGACCGTCGTAGCTGTTCAGTGATAGAACAGAGCTGTCTCAGGAGGGGATGACCTCCCCACTGTTGGAGGGAGTCAAGCAGCCTGCACCCCTGTGTCTTGGCCCCCAGAGGAAGGCTTTTGTTTTACATGTGCACTGATAACCCACTGGGTTCCAGGACCTGGGTAAGCAGAGGAGAGGGGCATCTGGCCACACCCGGGTCTACCAGTTGCTTCTAAGCAAATGGGAAAAGCTCTGCCTAGACTGAAGTTTAGGAGTGAGCCCTGACTTTCCCGTAGTGAAGGAGGCAGGCCAGCTGTGGCCTCACGTGCCGAGACGCTGCAGTGAGAGAAATAAGAGTGATGTTGCACTATTTATTCATCTCCTGCCACGTGCCAGCCGCCTTGCGCTGATCTCAGCACCGCTGATCGCGACCCTCCCGGTGACCTTGTAAATCAGCGTGATTTTCCACTTGGTGGGAGCACTGGAGCAGAGAAAGGAAGGCCAAGTTAAGGATCTGGCCCTCGGCCACACGAGTGAGTGTCTGAGCCTGAGTGAGGGGTCCGGCTGGCCGGAATACAGAACCCTGTCCTCAGCCCCCTCTCTCCCAAGGTGACGACGTGCCTGCCCAGGGCTGGCCAAGGGATTGGCCTGGGCTTGAGAGAAATTGGCGAGGACAAGAGCCCAGATTTCCTGTCGAGACAGAATCATTAGCTCGTAAAGCAGGTTGGGAGGAGAGAACAATGATATTGCCTTGGCGATCATGGGACCCCTGAGCTTTTCCATAAAGGGGGCGCGGATTAGCCTGTGGGAGCCTGCTGTGTCCCGGAACTGACCTCATCCAGACCGTGAACTTGGCAGAGGCGATGGAGGACGGGCAGCAGGGGAGCCTGTGGCTCCCACGTGCCATCGTAACCCAGGCGACTGGCGTGCGTAGCTCCTGAGCCGGTACTGGAGATAGAGGCGCACCCCTGGCTGCCCTGATTGAGGAGGCGGAACGCGTCCGAGGGGCTGTGTGCTGCGGTGCCCGTGCGAACAGCCAGCAGTTCGTTAGCGCACTTCAGAATTCATGTCAGAAATGGCCTAATGAGACGCTGAGCTCTGGGGGCCGTGCCAGCTCCCCCCCAGGCCAATTATCCGCTGTCGGCCGTGGGGTTACGGTCCGGGCAGGCAGCTCGTGGCTGAGGCCGCCCCACTGCCAATGCAAATGGAATTGAAGAAAATGCGATAGGAAGCGAGACTCGATGGAGACGGTTTTTGAATCAGTAGGAAGGTTTCTCCCCTTCCCACCCCCTCTTACGTCAAAACCTTTGCTCAGGGACTTGGCTGAAGAGCAGAATGGTGAAAGGACACCCATTCATTGTCGAATGTCTCCAGACGCTCCAGCCGATTCCCTCCTCGGAATTCCCCCCACCTGCCCAGCATGCACCTGATGGAAGGGTCTAGAAATGTGGGCACGTGATCAAGGTCAGAAAGCAGAGAACTCGGGGCCTTTTCTACACAGGACCTAACAGATATTTCAATGTCCTTTTTAAAAACACTTCTCAACACAGGGGACAGGATCTCAAGTTTCCACTCCCCTTAAATCAGACCCCCAGCTGCAACAGCGTGCGGCATCCAGGAGGAGTCCACCCGGGGGAGGCGGGGGGACCTCAGGGTCTCACCCTAGGTTGAACAGACTGCATCTAGCCATCCACCCACCCACCCACCCACCTCTCCATCCATCCATCCGTCCACCACGCATCCATCCATTCACCCAACACCCCACCTATCCCTCCAACTACCTATCCACTCAGCCAGCCAGCCAGCTAGGCTTATACTTAGCCGTCTACCCACTCATCCATCCATCTATCCACTCATTCATCTATCCATCCATTCACCCAGCCGTTCACCTACTCGTCCATCCGTGTACCCCCCCACCTGTCCACCCATCCATCCACATCCATCCATCCGTATCCATCAGTCCACCCACTCATTCTTCCAGCCATACGTCTACCCATCCATCCACCTACCAACTAATCTATCCATCTACCCATCCTCCTACCCA